CTCTCGTTAATTAATTCCCTTTTTTACCACGTTGGTGGTGTTCGATGGTCCATCCAGATACGCGCATTCGACGAGAATAAAGAATAAAAACGTTTCTCGCGTGAAACGAATAATAAAACGATTCGATTCGCTCGATGTTAATCCATTTGCTCGGCAAAACTGTTTGAATCTTGCTCGAGTTCGAGGCGACGCCATTTCGATTAGAGCAGTATTCTCGCCAGAGAATACGCAAGCCAGCGTGCGATGGTGATTCCACTGGTATTGCCGTACGACGTATAAACGTTCCACGAATAGCCTGCTGCCCGGTCAAATGTCAACCAACAAATCATTCACTCGAGCTAAAAATACTGTAAAAGGATCGTGTTCGTGCCCACCCACGCGGTATCCTGAACGTACAGAGGGTTTTGGATTCTCGAAAGGAGCGATTCTTTCTACGTGGCGGGAATCGATGAAAAAGCGAAAAGAGGAGAGAGAGAAGTTTGCTCGATTGGGGTTTGCTCTCCGGTATTATTTCTCGAGTCGCGGGAAGGAAGAGATGAAAGAGGCGCCGTGCACAGCCGCGGAGTTTATTAAGAGGGGTGAAGAGAAGAATCGAGAAATACGCACGAATACGTTCCTCTCTCGCCCCTTTTCACTGTCACTGTCATCGATGCTCTTGCACAAATTGCTCGCCAACAATGGAAAACGTTCCGCTGCAATTTGCATCGCGATTACCTATCAGCAAGGAGAGAGAGAGAGAGAGAGAGAAAAGAAGGAATCGACGAACTGGGGAGCAGTGTTTTTATAACGCGATTTTTGCAACGTGCTTGAATTTTTCTCGCTCCTTTTCACTGTCATCGATGCTGTTGGAAAAATTGCTGACCGACAATGAAAATCGAGAAGGGATGATTGTTTCATCGTGCACGTCTGTGAATTCGCTCATGAATTTTTCTCCACCCTTGTCATCCATGTCTCTTCCAAATTGTTCGTTCAACGAATATAGAAACGTTCCACGATTTAAAGAGGCGATTTAAAGAGATGGAGATGGAGAGAGGGAAATTCTTAATGGATTCGAAAGCAGCGATAACCCACGATTTATAACGTTCTGTGAATATTAAATATTTTTCCTGCCTTCGTCGTTCCTGTCATCGATGCTCTTGCGGAAATTGCTCGTCAAACGATGGAAAACGTTCCACCGCGATTCGCGACTTATCTAGCAAAAGCAGGGTGAAAAGAAAACGATTCTCTCCTCGATTTTATACACACGATTTTATTTAACGTCTTATTCAACGTTACGAATTTTTCTCGCTCCTTTTCACTGTCCTCGTCATCGATGCTTCTCGATTGTTCGCCAACAATTCGAAACAATTCGTCAATGATACGACGATAACCCATAACGAATCCATAACGTGAATATTAAAAAATTTTCCTCATTCGATGTCTTATTCGATCCTCGAATACTTAATACATAATAAGCCCGATAATCTCGTATCCGTTCGTGAAAAATCATCGATCAGAGGGTTTCGTCTCTTCCTCGATTGCCTGTACGCAGCAGAAACGAGTTCAGCCGCTTCTTCGAGCGAAAGAAGACCGTTCGATTCATTCGCGCAAAGGGAAACGAATTCCTCGAAGCGCGATGGAAACCTTTCGTCCTCCCGGTTTGCGTTTTCGAGATTGTAAAGTTCGAGTTACTAAACTCCGTTACACGTATCCGACGGAGGAAACAATCGAGGACTAATCCGCGATACTTTTCAACCACTCGTTAACTCGCCACCGAGTTTTCGAGAGAGAAAGAGAGAGAGAAAAAGAAACCTCCGCGAAACGTTTTGCTACGTTTCTTTCAACCGTGCTCGAAAGTTACAAAGTCGTGTAGCCAAGAAATGGCGTAATTTCGTAATTTTCTCCTTCCTTTCTGCGTTGGATAAGCTTGGTCTCCACCTCTCTTTGCGCACGAGATTCCGAATTATTGCAATCTTATCAAATTGATAAATTTGACGTTCGTTGTTTTTAACTCTCTAACGAAAATTAATGTCGGCTGTTAGGCGCGCCTTATATTCGGCTTTATAGATTTTTATAGCGCGTATGTCGAGGGAAGGTAAAAATATCTCGCATCTATTTTCGCAAAGTGTTCGACACAAAAGGTCACGCTGGAATAAGATAAGAAAGAAAGGTATCTGAGGAAGAATCGGGGGAAACGATGATACGCCGGGTTGATAAATTTGAATAAAAAAAATAGAAGGCCGGAGAGAAAGAGGGAAGGAATAATATTTTGAAACGATGAAAAATTGTCGTAAATCCGGGGAATAATTCGATTTTCATAAACAAAAACTGATCGGTAAAGATAATACCGGTATTATATTCAAAAGCTCCTCCTACGCATCGAAAATTTAAATCGGATCGAGGGGATAAATCGGTTCGAAAAATTCTAACGCGGAAACTTAATCTTGAGCGTAGCCCCCGATCCGCCGTAAACTTTCCTACGTGACGATAAAAACGTAGGAAAATTTCCATCCGAGGAGGAATCTAGCAGAGCCTTGGCGCGCGACCAGCCCGCCACGCGATTTCCGTCGGCGAGAAAAATCGAACGAAATCCCCCCCCGCGGAAAATTACGAAAAGATTATTAATTCGCTAATTAAATTGTAATCCGCGTAACACGCTTTTCTGATCGTTCTTATCTCTTGTTCAAAAATAAAGGTGAGGATATTTTTCATCCAAGTTGATATAATTTTTTTTTATTTTTACGCCTGGCTTCTTTCTCTTCGTTCTGTTTTATTACTTTATTTTCCTTCGTTATATTTTGTCGTTATAATTAAACATTTTGTAACGCAATGGAACACGCTCGAACGAGTACAAAGGAAATATATATGTAAAGAAATTAGAATAACAAATATTTCGATAATTTTTCATTACATAGTTTAAATGAAAAATATTTGAAAAAATGATGTATCCGAAATTCGTAATTTTATAATGTTCCACGAGTCGCTGTATTTCGGAGCAATTGGGATTAAATTGGTTGTTATATTTTTCCTTTTTTTTCTTCTCTCTCTCTCTCTCGATAAAATTCGATACAAATTTTACATTATAACAGGAAACGAATGCGCGCATCAGGTAAAATTTTTAGCAATAAAAATAAATAATCCTTTGCGGATTTTAATAATGTTCCGTTTTATATGAAACAAAAGGGATGAATATAGGCCAACACGAAAGTTTATGCTATCAAAAAGATTACCGATATAATTGCAAAATTCTTCTGGTTCGTAATTTCTGATTCGTTTGTTCTTCATCAACGCATCTTTTTTAACCAATATTACACATTAAATATATTAGAAATTAAATTTTCCTTTGTCGTATCGTACGATACGTGTCGCAAAATGCTCTCGATTCCGTTTAATGCGGATATCCATATCACACGCCGAACTTCATTTACCAAGAACAAAGCTGCTGCCTTTTACGCGAATTGTATGCACTATCGTTCACAGATCGTTAAACACTCGGTCCACTTGGAATAGAATTGCGACGAACATTGTAAATCCTAATATAAATCTATCGAATCACAAAATGGTCGGATATTTGTTTCGAAGTATATACATATTCATTTATACAAATTTATCATATTTTACGATAAAATAATAGATAAATCTTTAAATTAATTGTAATAAATAAATATCGTTTCATAATCCGATATTTTAATAAACGCCACAACGTTGAAAAAACGGACAAATATCCTCGAATGATTTACGAATCTTTATCGACCGTTATAAATCGTGCGTCGATACTGCGAATAAAAAAAAAAAAAGAAAACGGGATCGCTCTCGAATTATTAATTTACTCTTTATTAACTCGCCAACACGACCTGTTACACGCGTCGCGCGCATTGATTACACATTGCGACACGTCACCCGCATACGTGCCCTCCCGTTAACATTAAAAATAAATACACCACTTTCGCCCTCGCGGTCTTCCATCTCCCTGCTGCGACACACGTAATTTCGCGAGTATATTTTTCGAGTCGAAACGAACTCGTACGAAGCGAAGGCGATCCGAGGCGATAAGAGAGATCGTGGACAGGACGGAACGTTCCCCGGGAGTTAGGGGAAATTAGGGGCGGAAATTGGTCGATTAAAACGATGGATCAATTTCATTTGGAAATTACGCGTTGCACGCGTAATGGCTCACACGGAAAACCGCATTCCGTGGGATCGAAGCGTGAATTTTCGAAAGACGGGAAGGGAGGGAGGGAAGGCTCCCGATTCTCCGATTGATTAGCATCGATTTCGCTATTCAAATGGCCACACGATGAAAAACACGCATCCAACCATTTTCAATTATCCACATCTATCATGCGAAAACATTTTCATTCCGTTCAACAATTTCCAGTCTAATTCCGTGGTATCGCCGATCGAAATGCGATATGTATACGTATAACGAGAAAAAAAATTGCTTGATCAATCTCACGCGAAAATTAATTAAGGTGAATCGAGGTCGATTTATCTCGAAGAATGTAAGAGGAGGGAGGAAAGGAGCGCAAGCGGTGTGGAGGAAAGGCGCGAAAGCTCTCTTTTAAGAGAAGTGGCGGAATGACCAACCTGTTACTTGAAAGCTGCGGAAACTTGCGAGCGGGGAGTTGTGCGTGCGTTCTTTCAGCTGCCCCTCCGGATGGATACACGTGCTCCCGTATATATATTCCACGAACGTACGTGGCCGAGTAAGTAGCGTGTATCTACGTGCGTGTCTTTTGCTCTCTGTCTCTCGACTGTCTCCTTATCGCGGAAACACACGTTCGTCCTACTCCGTACTTTCGTACCTGCTACGCGTATGTACACTATGTATAACGTACATGTATATATATATATACATATATATATATATGATATATATATATATATACGTGTCTCTGTATACGTGTGTATCAATTCAAAGGTACAAGGTGTGCCTTGTATATACGCGGAAAAAAGAGACGGTGCGCATGCCCGCGTTATTAGAACGCGAAAAGGAAAACTCGCGGCGTAACAAGTCCGACTGTTGGCGGAGGATGGGGGGAAGAAAAAAAAAGTAGAATATCACCGCGATATCGAGAGCGACGATATCGTCGGGCAGGCTGCCCGGCTTGCACTGCCCGGGTCTCCTGTTTCTCCCACCGAGCGAACCACTCGCCCCTCCGATCCCCGTCTCTCCCGGCTCTCCTTACGCCCCCCTCGAGCGCGCCTGCCGAAAAAGCTCGCCTATTCCACCTTCACCCTACCTTTCACCCCTTTTCATATACTCCTTTTTCCCTCCCTCTCGCCTTCTCCTCGTCCTTTTCGCTCCTTTCACAGTCTCCCTTCAACGTTTATTCCCCTCTCTCTCTCTCTCTCTCTCTCTCTC